CATTTTTCATACTTAGTCAATATTTTTTTTTCATATATGATATGAATGCATGAAGGGGCCTACGGTTGTTTTTAATTTGGGAAATTTTGATTTTGATTTTTCTTTCTATTGGGTTTAATGGGGGAAAAAGCTCTAAAGATATTTGCTAAATCACTACTCTTTGTCTATCTCTTGCAATTTTTCTTACTTAGAATGTATTTGTTTATCCCATTGTTGAGAACAATTATGATTGCAACCAATAAGCAATATAATACTTGACATATGTGATATATATACACTATTTTTTGTATGTATTGTGAGTTCGAATTTTTTATTCTTTATAATTTATAAGAGGCCCCCACACACATGAAATCCTGGCTTCGCTACTGGACGGGGGGGGACTCTATCGGAGGCAAGGTCCCTCCTCCCGCTTGTGGTTGAGGAGGTAGGCTACTTCGTAGCCGACGACCACTACACTTCGCTTGGTGTAGAGTACTTGCCTAATCCTCTAAGGCTTGTGCCCGATTTTTGTACTTGTTACTTTTTTCCCTCATTAATAAATACACTATCGCCCTTGTGTTTCAAAAAGCAAACAGCACATAACCCTCAAAAGAATTGATATCTCATGATTATTCAATATTATTGCAGCATGTATTTCTTTCCTTTTGTTGGAGAGTCCTTATCCTCAAGCAAATAGGTTTTTTGGAAGACTGAAAAACATTACGTCTGAGTATTTCTTAAAAGTAGTATGATTAGCTTGCCCATAATTATGTAAGAAAATTATAATTTGAGAAATAGCTTCCTGGATTTGCGGTGATTTATTTTGAAAAATAAAATGATTTCTCTGGTCCCAAATTTTCCAACAAACAGTAAAGGTATTTATTAATTGTGAAGGAGAGATATTATGCCAATTGGTTTTTTCTCCAGCTAACCAAATTATTAGTACTTGAAACAGACCCCATACCAAACGAACACATTTGTGCCCAAACTGAACATATATGAATTTGGAGTTATTTATACCAACACCCTTTGAGGTTTTAGGTGTTTTCACAAAATTCCCTGAGGTTTTAAAAATTACACGAATACACTATGAAGTTTCAATTTATTTTCACAAAACCCCTTTTCATTGATTCTACATCCAAAAATTATGGTATTATGCTAAAAATAGTATAGCGGCTATACTGGGTTTTCCTTAATTTTTTAAAAAATAGTATAGCCTAACGGCTTTATCTTTATGACATGTGTCTCTAGTCTAGTATAGCCGCACGGCTGCATTTACGTCTACTGAGCGGCTGTACTTATGCACTAATCGCTAGGCTGAACACAGTATAGCCGCGCGGCTATACTTATTATACCCTTGGAATCTTTTAATCGTTTATATGAATTGTTTCTTCACTAAATATCAACACATCCACTGTAGCCCAGTAAATTGGATTGAGAATACAGTCCGGGTTCGAATCCTGGCAGTGGAATACGCTTTTATTTTTTTCCCTCTTCGCCATTAGAAAACTTCAGGCTGTGCAAATATATCATAGTTGTTTATTCTAGGTGGTTTTTATTTACCAAAAAACACATAGTGCAAAAGCTCCAGATGAATTCATCATACAACATACATTTAGCAGCCACCCCCCTTCCCCCAAGCCCCAAACTCAATCGTTAATTGAGGAAGAGAAGTCATCATCATCAAGAGATGAAGCAAAAGACATTCACATTCCTAAGAATAGGAAAAGTTCGAATTTAGGATAGATTGTTGTTATGGATACACAATGATGAAATTACAATATCGTGCACAATTACACATCACAAGCTCAAATGAACCGTCTTGACACATATTTGCTAAAATTCGGGTAATACTGGTAAGACAGAAACTCCAGCAACTTTTAATTGTTTATATTAATTGTTTCTCCAATCAATTTCAACAAGTCCGCTGTAGCACAATACCTTGGATTGAGATTATCTTACCGGGTTCGAATCCCGGCAGCGGAATAATTCTTTTTGTATTTTCCGGCGGTTTTTCCCCCTTTGGCCATTATTACTTATTGTGAGCCTCAAATTAGCAACATGTATATGGAGTGCAAATATATGTACCCAAAAACACATAGTGCAAAAGCATGCAAATCCTCCTATTACAGAAAAACTATATATGTAAAATGAATGGTTGTGATTAAAATATTCGGCAAGTTTAGAAGATCATAGATTATGAGATAAATTGCTTGCTTAATTCCTCTTTCCCAATATTGCTTTTGTCAAGAAATTATATTTTTTAAAAACAAAATAAATCAAAATTGGCGTGGATCTAAGAAATAAATTAGTTTTTTTTTTTAAAGACTTTTTTTTATTGAGAGAAGCTATAGCATACCAAACTCACACATATTACACGGACATTGGAACTCGAACCCAAAAGCCTTTCCTCAGAGAATAATTACTCCAAACCACACACTATAAATAAATCAGAATTCTTTTAGACTCAAAATTGCCGTACAAATAAAAGCAAACAGCATATAACCTTCAAAAGAATTGGTATTTCATTAATCATGATTATTCAATATTATTGCAGCAGGCTATATTTATTTCCTTTTATTGACATGTATTTGCTGAAATTAGGGTAACAGACACCATAAATTTTTAATGATTTATATTAATTGTTTATTCAATCCATATCATCAAATCCGCTGTAGCCCAATACATTGGATTGAGTTTATCAAACCGGGTTCGAATCCCGGCAGTGGAAATTTCTTTTTATTTTCCGCTGTTCCACTTCCACCCTCGATACTTTCTCCTGGGTGGGGATTTCTTTAGCCGCTAGAAAACTTCTCTGGCTTCAGGAGATGAAAAGCTTCATTGTAACTATAGAATTTAATAACTCAAGAACTATAAACCCCAAAACAACTTCGTTATAAATTAATAAATAAAATTTACGCATTTGCTTAAATTCAAAATAGATTGTTGTGATAGATAAACAACAAATAAAATTACAATATCACGCAATTATACATTACAAACTCAAATAAATCGTTCAAAAACAAACCTTTCAAGCAAAAATAAGGGGTGTAAAAAATTTCCATTAGCAACAAATTTGGGACGGATTGAACTCGTTTTTCCTCCTCCTTTCGGCCATTGTTACTTATTGTGTGCCTTAAATTAGCAACATATATATATGGTGCAAATGTATTTACCAAAAAACACATAGTGCAAAAGCATTCAAACCCTCCTAAATTAACTTCATTATACAGCATATATTTAGTATCCCCCCCTTCCCCCTCCCCCTCCCAAGCCAAGCCCCAAACTCAAGCATTAACTGAGAAAGAGAAATCCTCATCAGTCATTGCCCTAGAAGAGCCCATATCCCCATCACTAGCATAAGAAGAATATTCTTCCTCACTGTCCCTCTCCTTCAACTCTTCAATCTTGTCTACAACTTCTCTCCAATCCCATCTTCCCTCCACACTGCTCTCACAGCAACACATCCCAATCTTCAAAAGCTTCAGCATCTCCCCCTCCCCATTCTTGGTCCCTTTCATGTTCTTATCAAACACTTCTCCTGTCCACTCTTCTCTCACCACTGAGTTCACCCAAGCTGCTAGGTCTGCATTTGCCCTCTTGCCCTGCTGCAAATAGTTTGCTGGGAATTTTCCTGTCAGCATTTCAAAGATGAGTATGCCCAGGCTCCACACATCGGTCTTTTTCGAGGTTTGTTCCATGTGGGAGAACTCTGGGGACTTGTAGGCCACCATGAACTTTTGGGCATGGTCTCTGTTGATCACTGGTATTAGGGCATATTCTGCTATGAGGGGGTTGAAGTTGTGGTCTAGGAGGACATTGGAGGACTTGAGGTGGCCATGGGGTACTGTTAGGCCTGGGAACTCTTTGTATAGGTAGCCTAAGCCCCTTGATACTCCTTTGATGATCATCAACCTAGTTGGCCAATCCAATCCCGGCTGCCCGGGTTCTCGCTTCACTGAAAATGCACAAACAACTCAAATTAATTTGACATAACATTTGAAAGATGTGACCAGACGTTGAGTTTTAACTGGCCGAGAGTTTGTGTGATCAATTAACAACAACATTCGGCCTATTATGTGTATCATATTTACTAATTACATTGTTAATTCAATTATGTTAATTCAATTATGTTAATTAAATGCATGATTCGTAATGTGATTAGATGAAATATTACTATACAAGGGCATACCATGGAGATGACTAGCCAAGCTTCCATTGGCAACAAAATCATGAACCAAGAGCTTCTCTTCTTTCCTATAATAGAAAGCAACAAGTGGGAGCAAATTAGGGTGTGAAAGCCTCCCTAGCCTTCTCATGTGATCATAGAAGTCCTCTTTCCCAACTTGGTTTATTTGCCTAAACCTCTTCACAACCATGGACCCACTCAAGAGCCGTGCTTTGTAAGATGACCCAAAACTCCCACTGCCCAAGACCTCAGCTGGGGCCCTCAGCAACTCTTCCAGCTCAAACCCTCTGTCCTTCCTCACAAAATACAACTCCCCTCCTTTCTCAGCCTCCTTGTAGTTGTCTTCATCAGCTGTTAACTGGACCTCCATTGCAGCTGTGTGGTGTTGGGCTTTTAGCTTCCCCTGGGCTCTTGCTTCTTGCTTTGATTGGGCGCTACGACGTCGTATGAAGAGAATTGCTGCAATGGTGCACAGTATTGCAGCAATTGAGACAACTATGATGGCTATGATGAGGAGGATTTTTTTCTTTGAGGACTTGCATGGGGCCAGAGGCTTTCCACATAAGCCTTGGTTACCTATTTGGTCAAGAAAAAGAGGCCCATGATTAGGCCCAAGAAACTAAGAAATGAAAACTCATTTGATAAATAAAAGAAAACTTATAAAATAAGATAATTCAATTAGACCAACGTGCTACCATACCATCATATAGAAAGTAAATGTTTGAGAAGATCTGGTATCAATGAAGATGCGTGTCTCAATCTTTTTGTCAATGATCTCATATTTCTTTGATTTAAATTGATTACAATATCTTTGATTTTCTTTCTTCTTTTGTTATTTTTTTCTTCGAAACTTTGGTTTTAATATGGAATTAAAAGTCATAGAATTACATTTACCTTATATACATTTCAATACTTCATTAGTTAATATGAAGTTCGGACCGAACTTCTTTTTTAAAACTCAATTAAACAATTGTGTGTGTTTTAAGATGAATGTTAACGACAGTTGTTCACGCGCGCATGGACGATTGTCAACCGTTGATGTATGTGTGAATTTACCGTGAGACTCACACACATCAACAATCAACAATTGTTTCACACGGGATAACGATCAAAAACCAAACACATCAAAATCATGTATTGTGTAGTGGATTGAATAAAACAAAATGAAAATTTCAAAACAAAAAATGGACAATAAGGAGATTCTTGAATGAATTGCTTACCAGTGAAAGAGCTTGCTTCTAAATTGCTCAGGCTTGCAGGTATTCGACCCTCAAACCTGTTGTTTGATATATTGAAGTACTTCCATCCATTTGGATTTTGTGCAAAATTTGGTATCTTCCCACTGAACTGGTTCCCCTGGAGATCCAATTCCGAAAGCTTGCTCAATGCAGCCAGGGACTTTGGTATTTTTCCAGAGAATTCATTGCCATTCAAATAAATTTTCTTCAAAGAACTCATGCCCTCAAAGGCATTATCTTGCATTTCACCAGTGAATTGATTGTTGGACAAGTAAACTCCTATGAGTTCACCAAGCTTGTTCAAACTAGGCAGAGGACCTTCAAAGTTGTTGTTCATGATGCTTATGCTTCGAAGGGCAGACAAACCCGTAAGGGTGTCGATATCAATTATGCCCATGAGACCCATGTTCTGCAACTTCAACCCGTACACATTGCCATTTTTTTCACAGTACAAGCCTGCCCAAATGTTTGTGGTGCCATTGCAGGGGTTGGTGGAGTTGTTCCAGTTGTCTAGAGCTGTGTCATTGGACAAAAAGGACTTGAATTTCAATAGGGTTTGGATTTCTGGGTCAGAAGATGACACAAAAATACATAATTGTGCTAAGAAAAATAGCACCAAAAGCCAGTGATTAAGATCATAGGCTTTGTTAATGCGAACCATTTGATAAGAAATGAGTTGGGTTTTTTTGGTTGATGGAGAAAATGGAGGGATTGAAAATGGTGTTAGATTAGGTGGGTGTGGTGAAAGAATTAGATTAGGGCGGGTGTGGTGAAAGAATTAGATTAGGGGAAGATGGAAAGGTACAAATAGGGTCGACAATGGCAAGGTCTCTCTCTTTTTTTTTTTTTCTGCCTATGGGGGATGAGCTGGGTGAGAGCCGGCATTAATTTTTGATTAAATATTGGATTTAATTCCCTAAATATTAGGCAAAAGTGTTTGTTTAATATTTTGTAGCTTTGGTGTGTGCTGTTGAGTTGCTGGTCTGTTCTTGTTAATGGTGATGGTGAAGTGGCATTTCATTGTTGGCTCAGCCGAATGTTTATGATAGCAAGGACATCCCTTTCACTTAATTACTTGGTATTAATTTACTGCCCTTAATTAATTATATTTGCTGAGGCTTTCATTGTGTGATATGCGCTAAGCTTATGAGTTGGACCTATTTAGGGAGCCCTAGTAGTAAATAAGTAATTTGATTCGGTAGGTATGCATTTCGAAAAGGAAATTACTTACCTCCTTTCTCTGTGAGTAGAAACTCCTACATTCATGCAGTTTGACATGTGTGTAGAGATTTTCTTTTTGTATTTTTTTATTAATTATATTTATACATATGTCAAACCGTCATTTGCAGGAAGGAGAAGTATCTCCTTCCAGAGAAAGAGGCAAGCAGTATCATTTGCACAATTCAATAAGACGACATGAAAAATTTAGTGTCCGAATTGAAAATCGTGTTTGTGTTAACTCGCTGGGAAAGCGGGTTATGTCAAACAGGACCCCGAAACAAATAAACCATGCTTTAGGGTCCGAGACACATCCATACTAGAAGCCATTCGAACTTTATAAGACAAAACACAGATATTATTTTATTAAAACAAATAAATATTTTGGCACATTCTATTTGGATTTGGATACTACATATGCAGATATTATTTTACAAGAAAAGTATCTGGGTCTACCAACTGTAATTGGAAGAAGAAGGAAAGACTGCTTCAAAAACATAAAAGAAAGGCTTAGAAAGAGATTGAATGGGTGGAAGGAGAAACTGCTGTCAAAGGTTGCTCTTTTGTTCTTGTTAATGATGACAAAGCTCATTGTTTGCTCAGCCAAGTTTACGGATATAGTAAGTCTAGTATGTTTGATGCTTGGTAGGGTTTGACTTTAATGTCAATAATCTACTGTGGTCCTTTTTCATTGGGAAAACATTTCAATGTATTATTGTTCAATCTTTGAAGCTGATCTCTATTAATGATCCTCACTAAACAGTCCAAGAAACACGTTTGAACAATTCGAGTTTCGATGAGAACAGAGAGGTTGGTCCTGGTCCTGGCAATCTTATTGTTAATGATGTTGCTGGCAGCTTCATTGTCAATCTTGTAACGTTGTGCTTAAGACAAGACAACCACTTTGCTGAGCACCCACAGCACCAGAGAGAACTCAAACGCAAACAGTGTGTGAAGCAATCCCCGATCAAGCGGAAACCCGAATAGCGTGATCCCTCCACTGTTGTGCCCCAAGTATGCCACTGCGCGCACACACACAGACACACAACTATACATAAGCATCCATACTACTGCCATACAGTGTTGAAGTTTCACATATGCAGAAGCACTCGAGTTTATTTGATATGTGTGGTTAATTTAGTTTGCAAGTGAGTGACTAGAGATATTCAAAGTTTGCCTCAAGCCTTTGTATCTGATTTGAAAGTAGGTCTTGAATTGTAGTATTGTACTGCTATAAGTAATTTTCTTCTACTAGCTAAGCTATCAAGGAATGTAGAAAGAAAGCAGACAGACCTAGAGCTTGCCTGGTTTGGAATGAGGAAGGCTCCTGTGGAGAAACTGAAGTCAAAACGTTCGATGAAAATTCTGAATCAGTCTCTCCACAACATCCATCAGCCTCTGAGCTCTGCTGTTTTTTGCATTGCTGATCTAATGCAGCAGATGGACAAGTCAAAAGCATGTGCCATCTTGTTGCAATCGCTGAAATTCCTTGAGCTCTATGTGTTATTCTTGCTGCCTCCATTAGGCACAAGAAAAAACCACTAAGCTCAACAGCAGAACAAACCACAAGATCACCAGAGTTGAGAAAAGTCTTCTTTGTTTTGGATGCCAAAACCAGCAACAAGGCCCCAAACTGGCTCACAGTGACGACAAACGTGCATCCGATGATGAAGAATCTGTACCTGTGGCTCGTAACCCATAATTGCTTTCTTATCCTTATATGTTCCTGAAACCAAAGTGAAGATTCCTATTGTTAAAAATATCCACTCAACAGTCTGAAAATACAGAAAAATTGAAAGAGATTACATGAAAGTTTTGGCTCAAATGTATATGTTGCATCAAAGAAAAAAGATTGTTATTATCAAAGATATTATTGAAATTTCAAATCATACGTACCTGGAATATGAAGCTGGATTTGGATTCGCGCCCCTCAAACAGCTTGTGCAGTCCTTGAAATCGAAGTATTTGGAGCTCGCAAGTCAACCGAAACAGAACACAAACCAGCAAGAACACCCCTGTCCTATAAACCCAAGAAGCCAAAACCAAAACAAACATTATGGAATTGAGCGGGACGCTTGAGCTAATATGGAGCAGTGAGATTTTGACAGTGCAGAAGAATATGATCTTGTGTGCAAGCTCAATGAAAAAGGAAGGCAATAGTATGTAAGCTAGGCACTTGAAGGCCTTATCAAGCTCACGAGTGTATCCCCGACGAACAAAACAAGTGTCATCTCCAAGACCGTCGAGGAAGAGGAGTTGTCTCAGGCCATACTTCCTGAAGAAGCTAGACAGAGTGATGAAACCAATGGCGGCTAAGCCGGACTGGGGAAGTTGGACAAGCTTGTTGAAAGATATGGGGTCTTCGGATGGGGATTTGAGAGAGAAGGCGGCTAGGATGGGGACTAGGATGGTTAGGAAGATGAAGGTGAAGTAGGATATGAATTTTCCAAGGCATGAGGAGTGGTCTAGTGTCCACCATTTGAGGCTCACTCTGAAGTTGCGTAGCTCATCAGAGCATTGGTGAAGTAAGGGAGTGTTTGGTTGATTTTGGTCTTCATTTGGGTGGCTGTTAGGGAAGTCGACATGGATGTTGGTGTTGGGTGAAGTAGTGGAGGGGTTCATGGATTGGTTTTGTGGAGTGTTGGGGTTAAGGAATTAGTGGAGTTTTTGATATTTTTGTTTTTCTGCAGGTTGGTAAGGAAGCAACAATGGTGGAAGAATGAGACAGATTGATTGGCTTTGGACAAGAGCAATATGCTATGCTTTGATGTAGATTTTAGGGATTTCCTTATGGAAGTTTCATAAAAATGGGAACTCATTTCAAAGAGCAATACTTATTTTTCATGCTAATTTCTTCTTTTGGAGGATTAAACTTTTATTTTTTTGGTATTGCAGCTCACTTCAATGCCACTTGGACCGCTCATTTGCAAACACATTTGCTCACATTTGCTTCTAAGATACATGAGGTGCCAATTAAACCCAAAATGGTGTATATATATATATATATATATATATTATAGTGAAATTGGCTAAAATAGCCCATTTCACGACTTCTATTTTAAAATAGCCCCATTTGCATTAAATAGGCATTATAGGTACAACTTAGAGGGAACTATAGGGATAATAACAAGACACCGGGGCAGGAGCTATTATAGAAAAGAAAAAAAAATTGTGAAAAATGGCTATTTTAGCATGAAACCCCTATATTTTACTAGTTACAAAAAAATAAAAATTTAAAAACCCAAAAGTTGGTAAAGAAAAAGAAAGGACTTGCCTTTTCTCGTGAGAGTTCTCTCATTGCCTCCCTAGCCTTCTAGATGTTTCAATTGCGGTGAAGCATACAGATATGTTGAAAGAGAGCCCTTGCGTGCTTTTCCATTTGCCATATGATTTCGTATTCGTATTTACGTTGTTTAAAATAGTATATAAAGAATCAAATGACATATATATTATGGAAAATACAAATAACAGAAATATTGTGTGTTTTGGTTGGTCAATCCGGTGTTGTTGAAGGTGGTATTAATAAACACGGGTACATTGCCAGAAACAGGAAATAATTATTACTTGCTAGTGGTCTCAAACTCCCACACGTGAACCCCCCTCTCCCCAAAAAGGTTCAACACCGTGACACCACACCTGTGCACATTGTACATCACAGCAATCTGAACACATTGACAATACAACTACAATTTGGCATTGTTGCCAGAGGTTTGCTTCAACTTGTTCACAATCAAAAAAGTCGTAACTGTGGCTGTCAACCGTTGATGCATATGAACAAGTGGCTAATCCTACGCATAATCACGTTATTGGATACTAAGAAGTTCACCTGATTTGAGGAGATCTATTAAGAAGTGTCCAGCCATAGGAAAGGATATTTATGGAGCGGTGAATATGTACATGAAAGAGACACACCTAAACTGGTCTACAATAGGCAAACAACACAAAATAAGCTACCTCCAACATTGCATTAGAACTTTACCATAAATATCCTAATACCAAAATGTTAACCATTAAAATATTGACATTCAGTAAATTAGAGAAGGGGGAGGGAAGTTAAGAGGAAAACTATTCACATTCCTGGACAAGCTGACGGAGCTGGTCAAGAGTCTTCACAATATCTCCCAGACATGCAATAACCTGGTCCCCTTGGCGTCTAACAAGATCAGTTTGAGGGTCCCCGGTGCTCTTCACATCGGCAGCCTCATGATCTGCATTCTCATTAACAATAGCCTGGATTAGTTCTACATTTTCATGCAATTGCATAACCGCAATTTGCTCCTGTTCTTCAATGCTGATAGCCTTCTCTTTTATTTGACTATTTTTATGTTTCTTCGCACAGCTTTTTTGAGACTTCTCTTCTGCCAGGCTCTTCTGAGGAATTACTTCTAAGCAGCTCCCGACAGGCTTTTCTTCTGCGTGGGTTTCTTGAGGTTTTACTTCTGC